CGTGAACGACAAAGAAGTTTAGAGATAGTTTGTACTCCGTCCAATTGCTAAGTATGGTCGATGTGGAGCGAGGAAAAGTTTCATACTCCCCGTGATAAAAAAGCGAAAAGTCTCAACGTGTTGTCGTCTGGATTAAGGAGATTGGCCGATTTTGTCTTTTTGATGACACCTTAAACTTTTTCGTCGGTAAAAGCAAAATGAGCACAGTTGTTTCGCGTTTTCCCCTGTCTGTCGAAGGGTGCAATATAAATTGTCGGGTAAAGGAACTCGCCCACCATGTCAATTGAACTGAATTTGAAACAGGTCGCCATGACTCCTCATAAGTTAGTTACGAGCTGATAGTAAGTTGTGAGGTATAACATAAAACAGTAGGTTTAAGAATTTATCGCCAATAGCGATAATAAGGAAAAGTGAGCTGTTTATTCTTGGCCTACTGGCCGCTTACATGGTTATAGCCGTGCTAACAGCAGTCGTTTTTTCGTTATTTGGCGCAAATTCGTCAAACCAAGAGCAGCCAGGTCCTTCACCACCTTACGGAGTGGAGGTCTTCCTATTCCTCTGCTTCCACCGACGCGTACTGAGTCAAAATCCTCAAAAATGGAGTGTTCTCTTCCGTCCGAACCCTCTAATGTCATTGTTCAAGACGTATAACAGACGGGAATAAAGAGGAACTTGTGGAGTTTCGTCTTTGTTCGTCGAAAGAGAACTTTACTTTGCAATTGCATACTCAGTTCAAAGTAACACCTGTTGGCAACAGTGATTCTGCGTTGGATTTCAAGGCTGATTTTGCTGTTATTGTTTATGACGGTTCAAGACAGAACAAATGCGATGATATTCTTCTTATCTTATTTCTTGTCCTCATTCGCAACCAGTATTCAGATAGTTTCTGAGAAAATTCCCAGCAGAAACTGCTAGGAGAGAAGTTTGTTATATTCCTTAACCGGAAGCATTGGGACCTCACTATGTAGGTGTTCGCTCGGTGACATCAAGAGGCATCCCGTTAGTTCCCTGAGTGGAGTGTTCGGACAGGATTGAAACTTCTTCATCTGCATCCATCCTTGACTTGAGGATTTTGTTCTCTGTACTTTGACAATAATGGTTTAGTATCCCACATAAAATCGAAGAATTATTAACAGTTCGAATTTTTTTGTCTAAATTTTGAATATGGTCGCTGTGGATTGAGAAGGGATAGTGTGAGTCCTTAAATTGGAATGGTGAAAATGTCCAGCTGGTTGACGTCCTCGTAAAATTAAAGGCTGATATCATAGGCGACCAAGAATTCGATCAACGGGACAAGGACGGAGACGATTAGTTTTTGTGACGTTTACTTTACCGGCCATATAACGGAGCGCAAATTCGGTTAGGGATCCGCATCAGAGTACAATTTATCAACATAACACTGATTTGCGCCCACGCTTTGAAGTAAGACGTCATGAAAGAGATGTCTTTTATGATCCGCTAGAACGGACTTTAACGACTGCAATCGCCACGATGTAAAAATTGTGATTCAATTTGGCGTTTTTTACACCAGAGTGGTCAAAAAATGCATCTTTGCAATAGAAAATAAAGCTACTTGGCTGTCTTTAAATAGAAAAGTTCGAAGCCAGATCGATTTTGTTGTGATAGATGGACAGCATGTCTCCAGTGTTTTTAGCGTGCGTTCGGTAGAAGGGCCTAACCTCGACTCAGACCACTATCTTGTTGGAGCAAAGATGCGTGCCTGCATCTCTGCAGCAAAAAAAAAACACGTCAACAAACACAAGGAAGGTTCGACGTCGAGAAGTTGCAGACAGTCGAATGTGCGCGATGGAATAGATACCTAGAGTTGAAGAGGGGAGCGAGACACGTTTGCAGACAGAAAAAAAGAGAGGTCGAAATGCGAAGAGCTTGGCAAGCTGGCTGACTGAGGTAATGCATGAAAATTCTATGAATAAATGCGGCAACTATCAGATGGTTGCAACCGAAGTATACAAATGTGATCTGTTGACTGATGCCCAAAAAATACTAATATTATGGATGGAACACTTCTCCAACCTGCTGAACGGCAGTAAAAATGTAATATTTATAGAAGGCGAACCCGATTCCCCAATCGATGACGATGGAACATATGTTCCATTGCCATACTATGATGAGTTTCGAATACCAATTACCCTCCTCAAGAACAACAAAGCGGTAGGGCCCAATAAATTACCGGCGAGCTATTCAAATAAGTCCGCGTGTACAGAAAAATACTTTGTTTTGACCTGTACGCTGAGAGTTCACGTTTGACTCTAAATTTTTTATTCAAATTTTTTTCGTCAACACATTTCTTAATTCTAATTTCTTAACTAAGTACATATGTATGTGCAAAAATATAATATATTTTTATTGTACTTCAGATACCAACGCATTGATATTTTACAACTCTTTGGATTAGTGCATCTAACGCACTAATAATAGCTTCTTATCGGTTCCTTCTTGTGTGCATTAACATTTGGAATATGTATGTTTTGTATATTAATATTAGTTTTATGTATACTCTAATTCATGAGCTTTCTTTAATAGGCAATGATTTTCAGATTTTTATGAGCAAACTTCATATTTATTACAGTTTTGTTGCTTACCATTGGACTTGATATTTAGTGGACTGTATATTCTTTTTTTTAAACTTCTTGTTTACATGTGTATCTTTATGTATTAATGTACTTGTGTCAAAATATGTTTTTTATATAATTCAATCTTAATGTACTAAAACTTTTATGTTCATATACTTATGAACACGCCGAATAACTGACAAATTGCATGTATCACAAAATATGGTCGGATGAAACATGACCAATTATCTGAACCGAAGTCTGCTCTGCCAAATCGACAAATCCACTGGGTTAAGCCTCCTTAACCCTTAGTTGGCCAAGCGCAGAAAAAAATAGTATTTCTAATTCATCTTTCAATTTTATCATTGAAATTAGTATTTTATTACGAAAAAAAAAAATTATATATTTCAAGAATACTGCAGATTACAAAAAGGATATGGTACTTAGAAGTACCGTCGGGTTTAAGGAGCTGAAGGAGTCACAACGACCGAGTTGAAGGTCAATTCAATGGTCATGCCTCTTCGGACCCGAGGAAGTGCGCGAGCTATTTTAGCCGGCAGTTTACACCGCACCCTTCGGTAGACAAAGCCAAACGATGTGTTAACCGACGGCTGCGCAAAATGCCAAACGACGGCGCGCCACTTACTTTCACCGATGAGGCGGTTTAGGGTGTCATCAACATAGCAAAATCTTCCAAATCCATTGGCCCTGATGGAATCAACATGCTAATGCTACAGCATCTAGGCTCAACGGTAGTAAGGTATCTCACCAAGGTCCTCAACCTGTCGCTGACCACTCATCAAATACCCGATGTGTGGAAAGTCGGAAGAGTGGTCCCACTACTGAAACCTGGGAAACCCGTCAACAAAGAGGAATCTTAACGACCGATAACTTTCCTCTCCCCAGTAGTGAAGACACTTGAGGCCTTGTTACTCCCGACCTTAACTCACCACCGGAGCCTAGCCAGCCACCAGCATGGGTTCGGTAAAATGCACGGTACCACCACAGCACTTAGCGTCATAAACGCTCAGATAGTTCGTTGCCTCAACCAGAAACCACCCTGTGAGAGAACGATCCTCGTAGCGTTGGACCTGTCAAAAGCTTTTRACACGGTCAATCACACAACGCTACTGCAGGACATTGAGAAAACCACGCTTCCTCCAGAGCTCAAGAGGTGGACCATGAACTATCTGAACGGTCGTCCGTCATCCGTACTATTTCGAGGTGCAACATCTAAGCTGAGAAGAATTAAACAGGGGGTTCCGCAGGGTGGTGTCCTCTCCCCGCTACTGTTTAACTTCTACATCTCGAACTTCCCGCAACCACCAGAGGGATACGCTGATGACTGTACGATATTGACGTCGGGCAATGGAATCGATGGCATGTGTTCGAAGGTAAACAACTACCTCTCCSACCTTTSTCGTTTCCTCACTGCACGGAACCTCCAACTTTCCCCCACCAAATCCACAGCGACCATATTCACGAACTGGAGGAAGGAGTATAGACTGGAAGTTAATATTGCAGTCGACGGCGTCAAAATTCGACTGTCAATAACCCTACGACTTTAGCTGTCACCTTCGACAGTCGATGCTCCTTCTCTCCACATACGACCGCGATTATCGCCAAACTACAAAGCCGCAACAAAATCTTCAAGTCGCTAGAGGGCAGCACATGGGGAAAAGACAAAGAAACGTTGTTGGCAACTTACAAGGCAATCGGCCGGCCGGTCCTTAACTACGCAGCACCCATATGGCCGCCTGGATGCAGTGGCACGCAGATGAGGAAACTCCAGACCTGCCAGAATACAGCACTCCGGACCACGACAGGATGCCTCTTGATGTCTCCCATCGAACACCTACACAGTGAGACGCTTATGCTCCCAGTTAAGGAGCATAATGAACTCSTCTCCAAGCAGATGACTGCAAGGATGATTTCTACGAAAACCTCTCCTCTTAATGCTCCTAGGAGGCGGTTCCGCTCCAAGCAGATGACTGCAAGGATGATTTCTACGAAAACATCCTAGCAGGAACTAGAAATCATCCTTGCAGTCATCTGCGTGGAGCGGAACCGCCTCCTAGGAGCATTAAGAGGTCATTCCTTGATTACGTCGACGACATCTAACAATACGCTGACAGGACCACGGACGCAACAGACTTCCGACAGGTACTGACCGCCATTCACAGTGGAGCCATCAACACCTTCACCGACTCCCTCCCCGTGAATGGCGTTCTTGGGGTCAAGTCACCACCCATAGCAGACGCAACTTCGTTCTGGATATTGTAGCAGGTTAAACTCCTACTTATCCAGAATAGACCCTGACATACCTAATGTATGTCCTGCATGCAACGAGTCTCCGCATGACACTGACCACCTCTTTGCATGCCCAACCAACCCCACCCATCTAACACCCTTTTCCCTTTGGTCCGACCCAGAAACGTTAAAACAACAACAACAACAAAAGGAGCCGAAAAGTTTTCCATTATTAATGTCATGATATTGGACGAAACAGTTAGTTCTTTATAGCAGTATAAAAATATACCGGAATGCCGGCTGCACATATCACATTTTCTTCGGGTTTAAACAAAATTGCCAATGTACTCCAAAGTCGAACATCAGTTGCAAAAGACGCACCTTTATTACAACATGCTTTGCTTGACTGTGTTGGCGTCTAACTCAAGCTCCTTTTCTTGGCACCAATTTCCTTTTGCGCCATTAGGCCTTAAGCAACGGATCGCCTATAAATCAGTATTCAACATAAGAATTAACGAACGTTATTTCCAAAAGCCCCCAAAACAATCTATGCCCCCATTTTTTAAAACGTCTGCCTATCCCGTAGGTACTTCGTATTGGATCTGCATGATCTTTTCCGCCCATGAATGATGGGTTTATTATCTATCCATTTATAAACAATATATCCATTTGTTTTTGATCGTGAATCAAACTTGTCTCTTTTCATTTGCTTGTCTGGCTTTATGTTTGAAAGAAGTCCCTTCGATTGCCTAAAATTGTTCACATATAAATACTTTGAATTTGGAGGAATTTTAGGAGTCTAGATGTAAAATAATTGTCAAAGTACACATACTTGTTCTATTGCCACTCATCTTCTCTGAGGGACACAACCACTCTCTCCCCCAGACCAAATCCTTCGTACTTTGCTTCCACATTTTCTTCTTCTCCTTGGTATATTTGCAATTCTTTACTATAGCCGAATTGATCCTACAAACACCAAAACTTATAACCGAGCTTGGTTTCATGGCGCAATATTGTTTCATAGAGCGTCTGCACTTGAAAATAATTATAGATTAGTCTACTGATAATTCCTTGGTTCCATGATACACTTGCTGAAAACTTTTGTTCAAAGCGTCAGTCATAGGACGTATTTTGAATAGCCAATCTTTGTGGTTTTCCGGATTTTATGAATTAGCATTAACCTGTAAAAATCTTAGTATTGAGTCGGATCTGTTACGGGAAATTGTTTCGGATATTACGGTTACAACCAGGTCTACACATCTCCTCCAGTAATGTCGCCACCTTCGACGTTGATCAGACTCTATATACTTATGTGTTTGACTCATTATCTATATTTCTGCTAAAATTAAAGCAATTTAATCTTACATAATTGCATATATAATATTAAAATATATATTGCATGGGCCCACAGAGCCCAACGGTATTTACAAGTCTTCACGGGAAAACCGGTTGTTACTGCCAAAGAAGAGATGGATTTTTCATTTTAAGAAAAATATTTAAAACTTTGATGGATTAAATTCAGTTGCGCAAATTTTTTCTAAAAATGAATGTAAACACTTGAAAGTAGACTAAATGTTCAAAGTTGGTGCGTCATAATTCATCGTACGGCACTTTTTACCGTTAGTTTTAAGTATTATATTGTACAAAAAAATAGCTTCAACATAGAAGTGGAATCAGTTTGTCACGTGCAGTGAAGTGGACAAGTGTAAATATTGTACATCCTTTTTTTCTAATAATGGATAAAAGAAAAGAAACTTCCTCAGATTTTCGAAAAAATAGTTATAAAACTAGGAAAAGATGGAAAATCGTTTAGTGAAATTGCTAAAACTACATCTAAATTTAAGTCTACCATACAGTATATAGCAAATTCGTTTGAAAAAAATCATACTCGCGAATACGAAGAAAGATCGGGACGCCCGCGAAAACTTAATGATAGAGATGAACGGGCTGTTGTGGATATGGTACGAAAATATCCACGTGTGAGTAGTTTGGAAATATGCATCAAAATTGAAAGAGCTTCGGAAAAGTATGTGAGCAAGTCTTCAATTCAGAGACATTACGACGTAACGGATATTCTTCACGAACAGCTCGTCGAAAACCGCTAATATCTGAAATAAATAGACAAAAACGCCTAACTTTCGCAAATCAGCCCTTGAAGAAGAGTCTTAACTTTTGGCAGACAGTTCTTTTCACAGACGAAAGCAAATTCAATATTGTCGGAAATGATGGACCTTCAAAAGTTTGGTGAAAACCGGGTACAGCTCTTGAAGCTAAAAATTTGCAATGTACCGTAAAATATGGTGGAAGCAGCGTGATGGTTGAGGAATTTATGGCAAAATAGACAGATTACAGTATTTGGAAATTTTTAAGCAAAATTTAAATCAGTCGGCTGAAAAATTGGGTTTACCGGATGATTATGTTTTCCAACAGGACAACGACCAAAAACACACTGCACATTTGGTTCGCGAATGGCTGATATACAATACGCGAAAACAGAAGGGAAGAACAAGATAGAAGAGAGGAAAGATACCATCCCCATTTACAGCTAAACTCATCTCTTTAATGCCAAATAGAATGCAAGACGTAGTAAATCTAAACGATGGACCAACAAAATACTAAATTTTAAGTTTCAAAACAAATTCATAGTATATTAAATATTATATTAATAATAGAAATTGATTACATAAATATGTAGCGTAAAATGGAATATGACGCAAAATTTTGATCGGTTTATACTTTTTTTTATTTATCGTTTTCATTCTGAAATAAAATAAATTAATTTGCTTTTGAATTATATAACTGACAAGCTTTCTTTTATTTATGGAAGAACTTTTTGCATTTGAGTGGATTAAAAACGGAAAAACTGATTATAGAGAGCCGGACGATGAAATTCTGCTGTTACAACAAGCCATTTACATTGCTTCCTTGTCGAGTCTGGAGAAAGCAGAACTAACGGCGCGGGTGTTGAGGCCGACGCTAGCAGCTGTACACTCTTATTAAAGATCGATCCTGACGGAGCTTTTGGTGTTGCTCAAGGTCAGTTTACACAGTCGTATTATTTTTTCGGGTAAACCAAAGTCAGACGTTTCGGCGTAGAACGTTTTTTCGTAGAACTTTCGAGTATCACCCCTGACGGCCAGCTTATCATGCTCTTCGTACTCATGCATTTGGGCCTCTTTCTTTTTCTGTCTGCAAACGCGACTCGCTTCCCTCTTTAACTGTCGGTATCTATCCCATTCCTCACGTGTTGCGGTCGATCGTAACGTTGCGAGGTAGGCAGGCTGTTTTCATTCCGCTGCGACATGGCACTCCTC